GCCTTTATACGCTTACAGTTGACACTTGAAATGAGGGCCTACAATCAACATTTTTTCATGTATCTCTTTATTTTTTCCCCGGAGGACGACTTACAATGTTTGTCTCATTTTATGTACCAAAAACAGTCCTGATTACTTTTTATATGACCGTTTTCCAACCTCTCCTTTTCCTTTAGCATTGAAGACTGTTTTTATTACTGTGGCTTTAAGACTGATACATGTAAATCACCTGTTGTGATTGGCTGCCCTGTATTGTGTCTCATTCAAGATTCAGTCCAGGCTGAAACACTCCTTACAACTTCAGTTTGGGTGGGTGGGGCTAACCTGCTGTAGGTTGAATAAGCAGATACATGTAAATGTCTTGGTTTCTGTGACATCAGTAAAACAGTGAATTTAAAGCAAGCTGATTTTGCTGCTTAGTTTCTGTAGCTGTGTCCCAAATCAAGGACATGGTCTATGAAGGCGTGTCATTTGAAGGCTGTGTAGACCCGCGAAGACTGAATTGAAATGAGATGGTCTGCTCTACAGTGGACTTCCTGTTTGCGTCACAGCCCCACTGTTCTCACCCCTACAGCTGCATCACAAAACGCTGCTCCTGTCAAGTTCTTTAAAGTTCTTTAAAGATGGAGTCAGAAACTTAGAGCTGGAGATGCTAACTAAAACAAAACAAAACCTCAGCATAAGTTCTGCTTCAGACCACATTGGCTTTTTTAACATTTGTATTTAGCTATTTGACTCAGTTTAAACCCAATACTTATATTTAAAAGTGTCTTCTCAGCCACCCTTTACTCCTCTGTTGACACCGTGTTCTTGCATCTTGCGGCATGCAATGACGGGTGGATTCTTCATTGTCATGGAAAAGAAGGACACATTTCTCGGCCGCATATGAAGGAGCCTTCGAAATGGGACAGAGTAGTCATGCCGCTGTGACACAATCGGCCTCTGAATTGGGATGCAGCTTATCTGTTGACTGTATGGACTGGGGAGTGAATGGCATGTTTTAAACAATGTTAACATACTAAATCAGACTCGTCTTATAAATTCAAGGAAAACTTGATTTTTTTTAAGATATAGACCCCATAAATAAGCCTTGGAAAACATGTATGAGAAGGCTGCCAAATGCCCAGCAAAGCTTGCAAAAACCTAGACTAAACCTAGCTAAAGAAAAAAAAAAAAAGAATACAAGCAAATTGAATAGGGAAATAATTACCCAGCTTCTCTGCCATCACATTTCCATTATCGAACAACTCTGCTTTTCAGCTGAAGGTCATAGACCCACTCCTCAAGTGTCCTTGTCTTACAGTACACTAAAGAGCCAATGACACATCAAACAGTAGCATTCTTATTTACCCCTTAATTACTGCTAAGCTGCTCGCCCAAATGGAGATCAAATGAAAGGATGTCGTCCAGATGGAAAAAACACAAAAGAAAAACATAATTTTCAAGCATGAAAAGGCTGACACCGAAGTGCCTTCTTTTCAAAAACCCATTGACAACCAAATCCAGTGAGGGGTAATTTGCTCCACCTAAAGGGCCGAGCTGGACCACTTTTGCCTCAGCCCGATTGTCTAGATGAGGAGCAGCAATTCGGCCTTTTTCCGAGGCATCATTGCGTATGTGGAGAGCAGGGTATGAAGAGAGATGCTTATTTAGAGAATGACATTAGAGGATTAGCAGTCAGTTTGAGCACCACTGCTGTTTGGAGAAACACACATTCCGTTTATCAGAAGGCGAAAGCTGCATCCGCGTGACGCTTGCTGTCTTTCATCTTAAACAAACATCCACGGTGTGCCGTTTCAGCACGAGGCAGATGTTTTCTCATTCAGGCAGGAAAGGGGTTTTAATGAGGAACGTTAATGTGAGAATATCGCAAATGAGATAATGTGTGTTTGCTTTATCACCAGCCTGGATCAGTGGCAAAGATACATCTAAATGTTTTTACAGAGCAAATATGACATTCAGCAGTGTAATTCTTTTGAGCAGGTAAACAAGCCTGAGACATTATTCAAATTAGCGCAGGGTGGAAGTGATGAAATTCAATATCACAATGTTTTCAAAATATACAGTACTGGTCAAAAGTCAGAGACCATGTTTCCAGTCTAAACAGCCATTAAGCACAAGTTAGTCATTTTTCAGTGTCAGAATAAAAAGCAGAAAACACATCTGACAGAAAATTTGAGGAAGCCTCAACAACTAAATATAATATTCTGCACCGACACTACAGCATTTAGTGTGTCCACTCTTTGCCTTTACAGATCACAGCTTCTAACCTTTTCAGGAGGCCTACTTTTTTTTTTTTTGCTTTGATTGGACTGTTCCTATTTCTACAATTACACCAAAGAGAATCTCCCACAGTACATTTCCAGAATGAAAACGTACTTTTTATTTAGCTTATATGCATTTTAAACAATCTGAAGCATCCAGAAAATGACAGACAACTAACAAAGTTTTTGTTGTCAATATCATTCAAACTAAAAACTTGTGTGCACCACTGATACCAATATACCGCTATAGACAATATCTTGCCCAGCTCTAATTAAACTAAAACAACATTGAATTAGAATCAATGCATGTAAGCAGAACTTGCTGTAGATTTGGTTTGAGAGATTCATAATGTCAGTAATTCAGCATTGCAAGGGCTGGAGCTGTAAGAGAACTCTGTAACTGTGTGTAATGACAGTGCTGAGGCCTGAGACAACACAGCCAAACCTCAAAGCTCACACTAAGGTATTGTTTAATAAATGACAAACATTTGGCACAGATTCACTAAGTGAATAATGCTATCTTCAAAGCACCTGTTACCAAAAACAATTTCACAATCATCTCACTTTTGGTAGAATAAAGATCAGTTGCCAGGCAGCCACACTGAAAATACAATGAATTGACTTGATTCAAATCACTTCCACATGAACAAACTGTACATCAACATAATTATACCATAAGTGAGTAAACTGAAAACCAAAAGTTAATGTAATGTACTTTATTTATGTACATATTTGAATCAGGTCAATTCAATGCATCACATTTTCAGCCCAGACCCCTTGACATTCAAGCATAATGATGGAATTTCACATGACGTATCCCCGACTTCAACTGCAACTTTGACATTTAAGGCCACAATGAAAAAAGAGAAGGTTATTCATGTTGTCGTTGCTTTTCCATTTGTCCATGTGACAGTGCTATTATATGTAGCCGTGCTAGGAAAACATTTTCACTTTGCCACATTGAGCATAAACTGCAAAAAAATGAAAAAATGCAGCAAGACCAATCTCAAAAAATGCAGCTATTGACGTACACTAGAGAATTGTCAGCTGTTTTAAAGGAGATGTGACTAAAGCCATGGTACACCAGCTTCCTTTAGTAGGGAACACAAAAAGAAAGCTAAGAGAAAAAAGAAAGCGCCAAACAATTACTTGACAACACAAGTGTCCCTCCACAGTCTGACATCATCTGCGGAAAACACAATGAGCCATAACGAGCAGCCAGCGTTGTTGGCAGAGGAGAGAAGACGAGAAAACAGAAGCAAATCTTCTAGATAAAGAGCCACACAAATGGGGTTTGCCATCAAAGCAGCCCAGCGAGCACACCCATAAGACACCAGATCCAGGAGCGCTGGCCTAGTTTATTTAAATGCCAGCGGGGGTTTGATAGCTGATCCCTTTTTGATTGATGGTGGGGTGATACTGTAGCTGAGGGAGAAGCTGCCGGCAGAAGGTTGGAGATGGAGGCTGACAGGTGCAGGAGCTGCTCTCGGGCCCTGCCAGGCTTGTGTCACATGGCTCAGGCCTTTTAAATGGCACTTTACACACCCAGGCTGTGGCGTCGGCCAGGACCAGCAGGTTATAAACAGGGAGAGGCTGATAAAACAGCAGAGAGGAAATGAACTGTTCCACATCACAAAATATTGCTGGGGGCTTGATGTGGGGGTGTTTGGAGAATGCAGCAAAGCTGGACTGTGCAACCTGGCGGAAGGCCAACAGTAGATCTCTGCGTGATCCTTCATTCAGCTCGAAGCAGAAAGGGGATAAGGCAGCATGAAATATCGGCAGTGACTGCAAGATGAAACTGCGTTATGGTACCAAGCAAAATCTCCAACATCGCTTCATAAATATGATCTTAACTACAGCGCAGTTCTATGGAGAAATTTGGCTTTCTTAAAAACGCATCGGTGACTTGTACCTTTGTACTTATTGTGCATCCACTTATACAGGTCTATTCTTTGTTTACTTACCTTAACTCCTTAAACTCTATGGCCCATAGGTGAGCCCAGTCCTCACCCTCACCCTCATAACTGCATAACATGCAGATTGTGGCTGTCATAATGCAAACACTTGTATCTCCAAAACAATAACTTTACAGGAGAGGCGGAAGAAACACTGTTAATTTGTTAACTTAGCTTAAACAAAAGGCCATGTACTCCATTTGTTCTTGTAATTTTTACAACTCATGATGTTTGTGTGAATTTATGTATCAAAAACAGTCATAATTCATTTTACTTTACCATTTTCCAGCCACTGTTTATTCAGCATGTTTTTGTCACTGTGCCTTTAAGCCTGTAAATGACCTCCGTTTCAATTAGCTGTATGACATCACAAAAAAATAATTAAAAATATGGCATTTGGCAGCTCGGATTCCCTGTAACGACTGGGTGGACTGCGGAGTAAATGGTATATTTTATTATGTTTTATATAACGTTAAGAATGTTTATATATTGCATCGAACTCCTTCATTCAGAAAAGGCTAGGAAAATTTGGTTTTGATATTTCGATGATACAGGCCCTTTAAAGGTGGACCATTTCTATAAGTCCAATCGTCATGAAGTGTTCCTATAACAAAGTGTCAAAGCTTGTCTTTTCAAAAGATGAAAAGAAATAATATATTTTCATGTTATTTGCTGAATTAGTCACCGTAGTTACTGAGTAATAAGACCTAACGGCTGCATAATAAGCCTCAAAAAATGACAACAGATTCAAAACATTAAAGAGAAAACACTGAAACTGTTCATAGGAATCAACATTGTATTTTGCATACTCATTATTGTTCTAATTAATGATGAGTTACTCTCATTAATTTAAACAATAACAGCTATATGGCAATGATCAATTGCTCATTTTTGGTACATAACATTTCTTTAACATACTATACATTTTCTCTAGAAACAACTGTCGTCACTTTGAGTTCCTAAAATAAACAATATTTGTTTTGCCTTAAATTACAGATAATCCTGTCTTATTCCAATATTGTCCAGCCCGCCGTCAGTGAGTGGGCTTGGCGAACAAGAAACAAAGGCAAAACTACCATATTCTCACTCTGAGCCTCAAATCATTTGTGCTTTGGCAGAGTGCAAGAGAAATGTGCAATAGTCCAGTGTGAAACTCCAACGTCCAGACCAGCCCAGTTTGGAGTTCAGTTCAGTAATCTGAGGCCCTGCTCCTTCCAGTCCAGCTACTGGCATCTGAAGTCATTAAGATGGATAGAGTCAGTGAGATCAGCGCATATCTCCAGCAGTAGTAGTATTGTTCCAGGTTCAACTCCTGGAAAAGGAATGCTTTTTCACATTTGACACAAATACACTCCTTTTGTTATATCTAACTGTCACTATGGTAAAAGTAAAAGCTATCAAAAAACGCTCCTGCAATCCAAGTTTCAGAGCTGAGCAAATCAACTCTTTGCTCCTCATTATCAAAATGCATGTTTGTGTTAAATTCATGTTGGAGCTGAGCTGATTCCATCTTCACAAACAACAAAAAGTAAACTGTTACACTGATGATTAACCTGACTGCGTTTCTACAAGAAAGCATTTATGAACAGTAGAAAAATGAGTTGTCAATGAAAAGTGAAGTGCAATAATATATATCTTACATATGTCTTATATATCATATATCTTGACATATATAAGACATAATAGTTATCTTAGCAAGTGAAAGCTTCATAAACAAAGCTAATATATCTTTTATTTCTCATTATCAGATTGTAGCGAGAATATTACAAGACTAGGCCCCAGTATGAGGCCACTAACTGCTAAATAACTGGCTGTTCAGTACTACTTTATTAAGCATTTTCCAGAACACTTTTACTGGTGTATTATACATCATAATCTTCTAGCTGTCTTTAATTATGCCTTTAATAGACCGTATCCAGCTTAATAAAGGCATAATATAAAGCTTAAATTGGTTACTATCTTATTAAGCCAGCAGTAATTACCTGGCTACTCATTATTATGTTATTAACAATAACTAGGGTGAACTGAACATTTCCCAAAGCTTTTATTCATGTATTATACATCACATTATTGGTTTGCTTAAAATGCTTAATTCACCCTAATCGTTGCACAATAAAGTAGTAATGAACAGCCAGATAATTAGAAGCTACTGGCTTGATAAGGCTTAAAAAGAACAATACAAAGGCATTAACATGTTCCCCTGTACTGAAGTGTTACAGATTATCCAACCTATTCCTTGACTTACTTAAGTAATTTTATTAAGTGAAATGATCTTACTGCACCAGCAGATCATCTTGGGTGTTTCAAGAAATAACGTGTGACCAATTATAAATAAGTAATATAAGTAAAAATGTCTAGAAATAGGTGGAATATTATCATAATTCTACATAATCTAGAATTTTGATGTACAAACTGCAGTTTCATAATGATTTTTTTTCACTGCACCCGCAGATTTGTATTTCTCAAGCACATTTACTACCAGTGCAGTAATATCACTCCAACTGAAACAACTAAAAATAAAGACAGAAATAATTGAATATTGAATAATCAGTATGTATTAGCTACATTCAAGATGCTTTCACTTGATAAGATCGAATTTTTTTACAGCATGACCCACACAAAGTACTGAAATGCAACCAGATTGAAAAAAGAGAGAGAGAGAGAGAGAGAGAGAGAGAGCAGATGTGTGTTAGAATTGAAGCGATGATGGAGCGTTAAGGCTAGTGCCACTCCAAACCTCCAGTGGCAGCAGCGTTGGGGGGATATGTTACACAAAGGCGCCTTGCTAAGGCACTGAGCCCGTTTGCGCCAAACGGCAAAGATTAGCTTCTACATTCCATATGGGTGAGGGCAAGAGGGAAAGAAGGAGGTGATGGAATAACAGAATGAGAGAGAGAGAGAGAGAGAGAGAGAGAGACAGATGAGAGATTTCACAAAAGGCTTCAGTGTCAGCACTGGTAATCTAGGGGCAGCGAGGGCCAGTGAGTGAGCATGTGTGTGCAGATGGGTGGAGTGTGTGAAGGAGGCAGCAGTGTCCTTTTGGCCGTGTGTGTGTTCTCCAGTGTCAGCCGCTTTGAATATACTTCTTGATGACCACGCAGCCGTGTCTGAAAAGTGGGCAGGGCATGCTCTGCTGCAGCGTCCAAGCATTGGCGCAAGGGTCAAAGGCCTCCATGTTCCCCAGTGCTGGACCCTCACTGCTGACGATACCTCCAGTAGCATAGATCTTCCCATCTAACACCACCGCACTGCATGGAGCACGTACAAAAAAAGGACATCAAGTTAGATAGATATATAGATAGATTCTTCGTTTAATCTGCAATAGATCAGATGCACATTTTAGAAAAATACTTGATAATATAATAGTGATGGGTAAAAAGAAAGGACAATAAATGAATATAATGGCATAAGTGAATTAATGATTATAGTACAGTAGTAGATAAATATTGCAAACAATTTAATGTATAAAGACAGGAAAGTGGGTAATTACAGAATTAAATTCATTCCAAAGTTTTAATACACACTTCTGTAATCTAGGAATAGCTTAGCAAGTTTGCACTTAAGTCCCTGTAGTTACTGAATAATAAGCCTTAGTATGAAATATGCCTGTCAAACAATTGTGATCAGCCTAAATAATTGTGATTAGGCTATTATGTAATAATTATGACAGGGCTATGCAAGACGTTAGCATTATGATAAGTTAATTGTACATCTTGTACCTGACAAATAAAATTCTGGCTCTGAAATCACCAAACTTTGCTGAGCCCTCCAGGTCAAAAACAGAATCCTGCTGTAGAATGATCCTATAAGATCAGCAGCACTTCAAATCCTATTTCTCTTTATATTAGCTTTCCCTTGAAAAGGTGCTTCATAGATCCACCGCTGCAGGAAGAATAAAACATTTCATTTCTTAATCTCCTGCTTTTGCAGTGTTAATTTCACACCCTCAGCATGTTTCAAAATGCTAATGCAGAAACTCTTAGCGGTGTGACTGGAACTGACGTACCGTTTCTGGGAAACATACAGTAGTTGTATCGCAAAGACACAGCAGTAGAGCTGTGGCTTTCTTACAAATGCACACAGGCTTACACACACATACACACAGAGACACACGCGCACAGACAGCAATGTTTTGAAGACGTGGTGCACAAGCAATTGTTCTGAGGCTCATCCACGCTTCATCTGCCACTGAGCTAATTACTCTCTCTGCTGTGAATACCAATCAGCAGAGGAGACAGATGCAGCCCAAAGCTTAACCCAGGGGACTAGAAATGAATTCTTATGAGTGCAAAGCTTTTCCCTTCTCCTTTTTTCATTTAACTAAAGCAACTTATCGCATTATCGCTGAGTTTCTCCCAGCTTTTTCTGGTCTTTCTCTATTTCTGGATGTCATTCCTTACATTTCGAGCACAAAAATATAGTTAAAGCAAAACAAAGACAGGAGAAAACAGCAATTTTTGTTGTGCAGGAGAACAAACTTGGAGCTGAAATGTTTTAAAGCTCTCTTGCCTTCCCAATGGTCTTCCACACAATCGACAGAGAAAGCCTTTGTTTGAAACTATCCACCAAAGTTGTCAGACGGAGTGAAAGAAAGTCACGGGCAAAGAAAAGGCTGTGCAGCTTTTAGCTCTATTTTTGATACAGTATGCTGCTTTCCAGTTTTAGAGACCATTGGCACTGATGGATCTGCTCGAGTCCTTAGCTTTCCACAGTAAAACACAATGACCCAGAGATGTAGACAGCCGTCAAACTAAATGTATTACACTTATGAGATGTATTACATTTTCAGCAGCAGTGGTTTAATATGGGCTGAGAGAACAAATGGACGCTGAGGCCCGGCTCTGGCTGTGTCCACTCTTTCTCTGGAGCGGTGCGGACATTACAGACATTAATGCGTAAAAATAGAAGCGAATCGCAGGCTGGTGATATTGGCTCTCGGTCAGCCTGAATCCTCTTACCTGCAGAACTGCCTGGAGTGGTTCATGTTGGGTCCGGCTTTGATGTTGCCTTTCTCCGGGTCATAGATGGTGGTGGCTCTAGCGTACGCTCCCCCCAGGATGAAGATAAAGCCATTAAGTGTCACGGCAGGAGCATACTTGTTGTCTGTATAGAGCACACACACACAGAGTAATAGAATTACATAGAATTCTTCCTTACAGAAGACGTCTTACAAGCCCTTGGGTCCAAATCAATGAGTTCTACATTAAAAAAAAGCCATTACGGAAAGCACTACTCAGTCAGTTTATTCCCAGGATTAGCACTGTCACAATGAAAGCTCAATTTAATGAGCGCAGACTGAAATGGCAGGGCCTCCAAGTTTCGCCGGCACATTCATCATAAGTAAGTCGTCTCCTGTTTTGTCCACCTCCTCATTATGTTCATTACATGAATGGAAAAGCAAGTAACTGTGTCACAGGAAAAAAGCTGGAGGTCAACAAGCTGCCCCTTGTATTGATCATCGATATCATGGCTCCCTCCAAATTATGCAGGTTTGAGTGCAATTCACTTCTTCTTTTGGTTTGAGTAAATAAGCAGGAGAGAACACATGAATAATTGATGAGGCTGGGAAAAAAATAATTGAATTCAATCACGCTCTCCACAACAGCTGCGATTTCAACCTCATCCGCTGAAGTAAAACTTGCGTATAGTTAATTAAATTTCGTGCCCTCTCACGTTCTGGAGTGGGGGGCTCCTGGGGAGAAGTGATATTATGGATAATGTAAAAAAAAAGTCTGCAAACAGAAAAGCAGGATTCCACTGTTCACTTTCAAAAGAGTGGCAACACAAAGACAAAGCATTTCCCCTGGAATGAACTCACACAATGCTTAATTGATATGAGACATAAAAGATATGTTTTGTTATTTATATGTCTCTAATGTAAGTTATATAAGATATAAAGTAATCTCACTTTGATTTGATTCTTTCATTGAATCAATTATTGTTTTGCGGCACTTGACTCTTTTATTTCTTAGCAGTCACTCAGTCTACATTGCTATGAAGATGACACACACACAGCATGCTTAATCTGCCCCCAAATCCTATGGCAGTCCTCCACTGCTTGCAGAGAGGGGCCTGGTTGGTCAAATTCAAATGGACGTATAACAAAACCAGTGGGGGACCAGAGAAAGCGGAATGATTTCTTTGAAATAGAAAAAAAAAATCTGTCTAAAATTTTTAGGAATCAGTTACATTCATTAAATGAACATTCAATAAACTGTAATTTTTTACAGGACTTTTTTCTCTTTGGTATCTGAGTACCAGAGCCAAGCTGTGTATAGTAATCGTGGTGTGTCCAAAAGTGTGGACACCCTACTATGGTCAGTAAAACCCACTTTGGCAGATGTCACAGCTTGCAACTATGATTTGTAACCAAGAGTCTTTTTATTCTAGACATGTTCACCCTCTCTTCCTTGCAGTATACCTTCAGTTCTGCAATATTCTTTGGACTGTCTTGCATGCACAGCATGGTTAAGATCTACCCTCAGATTTTCAATGATGTTCGAGTCAGCTGTGAGGGCCACTTTGATAGCTTCAGCTTGCGTTTCTTAATGTAGTTTATGGAGGATTTTGAAGTATGTTTTGGGTCATTATCCTGTAGAATCAAGTCTCTTTTCAGCATTAGTTTCTCAAGTGTCTGTGTCAGATTTCCCTTCCACAATTTGCTGCCTGCATAATAACGCTTAACAACTGGCAAGGTGTTCTTTTCATCAAATGCTACTTCTTTTCTCTTCAAACATACCTTTGGTGACTGAGGCCAAAAAGTTCCATTGTTACTTCCACAGCACTTGTGTCCAAAATGCTTCTGGCGTATGTAGATATTGTTTTGCATACTTCAGATGTTGACTTTTGTGATGAGGTCACAGGTCAACTTTCCTTCTGATGACTCTTCTATGTAGATCATATTTGTGGAGACAAATCTGCACATCAGAATGGCAGATCACCCCTCCTGTGTTAGCTAAACGTTCCTGTAGGTCCTTTGCTGTTTTTGCTCTATCTTTCTGGCCAGCATACAAGCATTTCTGAGAGTTTTCTTGGTCTTCCAGATCTTGCTTTGACTTTCACAGTTCTACGTAACTACCATTAATGACATTTAATGACATTTTGGACAGTGCAAATTGCAATCTCAAAGTGCTCTGATGTCTTTTCAAAACCTTCCCCTGCTTTGTAGGGATTGATTAGCTTCATTTTCAGATAGTCAGGCAGCTGTTTAGTGGATGTTGGGTGTTGAGTGTTTGAAGAGAAGTTATGATGCTCTGGAATTGTCATCATCTAAACTTTTGCACACGCAATTTGATTAATGTTGTCTAAACTTTTGCATACAAATGTCTGAGCGGTATATGTGAATAAAGTGGGGCCATGGCCTGGGTGGCCCACTCTCCTGCGGCCCATGCAACAACAAAGTGGTGAGCTCTAAACAGCGTAAATACAGGCTCTGGCTCTGTTTCTGAAATGTGTGCAGTGTTCCAGCCCACCACAATTCAACATTAGGAGCATGTTTGGCATGGGGCCCAGGAGTAGTTGTGCCTAAGCCTCTTGATTTAATCTCCCTTTGACACATAGCTCTCTGCTTGACCACACATATTTGGGGAGTCTGTCATCAAGAAATGGTTTCAAAGAACTACATGACTGTGTGTGTATGAGTGTGCGAAGCATGCTCTGCACCCCCTGCTGTGCACTGAAGTGTCAATCTGCCATCCTCAGCAGGGGAGTGCAACTGGTAAAAGGGGCTCCTATAGGAGTTTCCATCTCTCTCTCTCTCTTCATCTGTCTCTCTCTCTCTCTCCCCAACACACCCAGCCTATAAACTGATAAAGCTCATCCTCTCATCTGCACACTGTGACTCTGTCTTTTACGGTTAAACAAAGTTTTTTCGACACCCACAAAGCCCGCTGTGAGCTGGTGTCATTTCTCCGCTCTCTGATGCACAAGCTATCCCGGAGGCCACTCGCTCCACAGCGGGTTTATTTACATGTTAAACACATAACATTAGGCCACGCTGCGTGATCGTCTCCCACAGCGACTTCCTGCCTGTCCGACACAATGAGCTGACTGGTGGGGGTGCAGCTGGTCATTCTGTGGTGGTGGCTGTGGCAGAGCCATTCCCCAGTGACAGGAGCGACAGAGAAGACTGAGAGCACACTCAACATTAAACACATCACTAACTCCCCGGCCTTCAGTGAGATCCGCCAGCCATGAGACAAGCTGCTGCAGAGCCAAAGGAGAGTTCAGAGCACGAGCTGTCTTTATCATTTATAACTGCTTTTGAATTTGGTATCACTTTACTCTAGGGCTTAAGGCTACATGACATTGGCATAAACCTACATAAGCATTTATTAAGGCTTATACCAAAGGCTGCTTTAATGTTGATGACACAATACTTATATCAGGTGACATCAATTTTTTCTAACATTGGGCTGTGTCATGACTTTTTTGGGTAAAATGACATAGGATGTTGTAACAGCTGACTCTGTAGCTTAGGTTATATCACAGTGACATAATACTGACGATGTGACTTAGCTTGAATCCTATAAATAGTAAAATAAGAGGCAGGTTGCTTACACAGGGACTTCACAAACAAATGCAAAAGCACTGAATATGTATTTGTAAAGCAACATTTGAATATTTATGCATAGCTTATGCCAGTAATCGCATTACGACATAAGATATTTTATGAAGTAAATGACATTGCTCTGACATAAGGGGCCTAAAACTATAGTAACAGACATTTGTTCCATTTATAAAACTGTTATGAAGCATCATTTCCAAGTAATACAACTTATAAGGCTGGTAAGAAGCAATGGAATTGATAAGCCTGGTTAAGAACACTGTGTATCAATTCTATATATTTCTTCTTGAGTTAAAGTACAAAACTACATTTTCTATTAAGGAGACCTGTGTGGCTGCAATAATGAACAGCAAATAAGTGTTTCATCTCTGTATTACAGTGCACTTTCGAGTACATTTAACAACAAATATGTTTGTACTTTGGTACTCAAGTAGAAATATAAAGGGGACATTAACTTTCACTCAAGTATTTACCTTTACCCAATACAGGATATTTGTACAGGGATACGTAATATGTATATTCATACATATGGCAAAATATGTATGAAAAATCATGAATTTAACCCTCGTACCAAGCCAAATTTTATTACACACTTCTATAACCCAATAAAAGCTCCATTAGTTTGCATTTAAGTCCCTTTAGTTACTGAATAATAACTCATATGTAATAAACCTGGAATATTAAGGGGTTAAGTTTGAGGGCATCTTCCATAGAACTGATATATGGGACTCTTAAATAAGCTTCTGCCTTTAAGTTCAAATACTTTAATAATATTTCCTAACAGTCTTACAAATGGAACAAATATCAGTCACTTTAGTTTGAGGCTCATTATGTCGATGTAATAATATTTACTTCATAAAACATCTTACGTCAATTTTCAATTACTGGCATAAGCTGCTTATAAATATAAGTACTGCTTCACAAATATATTATTCAATGCTTATGCATTTGTCATTAAGTCCCTATGTGAGAAGCTTTCTAATAAGGTGTTACCAGTGAAACTTGCTACACAAAATGCTCACTTTTGTTCAACCAGCTTTAGCCATATTCTCAGTATTGTCACTATTGTCACTGTGACATACGCTGAGCTACACTGCCGCTCTACTGGAACCTGTCATCTGCCAGGTGTAACACCAGAACACACACTGTGAGCTTAGTCACCTGTCGTTTAGTGACCTTCTTGTTTAGGAAAACGTACAAGAAGGTGATGGTTACTGTGGCGAAAATTTGAAGATAATTTGATTATACTGACCACACAATGTGATTACTTTTTTTTGTATCATGCTAAGTAACAATACCTTCACTTGTGCCTGTGATCAAATCACAGCCATGATATTTTTGTGATAACATGACTTTCTCCTCAGAAACTGTCACAACTAACTTCAGACAATGTCAGCTGACACAGACCTTCCATCAGCTTGAGCTCAAAGTATGACAAATGACACTTACCGGAGAAAATTGTTTAGAAATGTTTCATGTAGGTGTATTTTATTATGGTGGTTATCATGAAAGGTTTATGTAGGTGTCATGTAGTCTT